GTGCTCTTCCGATCTATTTTCTTAGTTATAAATGTTAAACTCGCACAGCAAGCTATAGCTTTGCTGAGTAATAGTTATTCTATACAAACAAATTTGCTGCAATAACAATGATGATCTTTACAAAGATGAATTTGTTCTATAAGCATACCTACTGATGATTGCTTTTAGACATAATTTCTTAGTTGAACTATCAAATCTTCTTAGTTATAAATGTTGAACTTGCGCAGCAAGCTACAGATTTGCTGAATTACCTAATCTATTTTTTTCCGTGTTCGCATTGGAAAAATAAAATCGATTTTTTTCTAAGGGATGTTTCACCCCCTTAACGTGCGACTCAGCACGAATGCAAAAATTGTAGTATCTTATTTTTATCTGCAGTTTAACATATTGAAAGCTTATTGAAATCGGAGGGGGACACTTCCGTGTGTTCCCTTGTTAGTACAAAATTTTTAGATTTGATGCATCTCCATTTGCATTCGTTCAGCTTTGTAAAGAATCAGTAAGTCATTTAATGAATTATGGATTTCGAAAGTAGAGACTTCAAGCTGTAAAATTCTTTTAGGATCCTTCTGTTACGATCATTTTTGACGAAGTTACACTCTTTTAAAATTTGACTATTTTTAGCGATCAGAATAGGTGATCCTTTAATTTTGGGAAGGAGTGTATCTATAAATCACGGTTTTTATTACCAATGGACTAAGGATAAAGGATAATGCTTTCCAAAAGATCTAGACGACAAGACAAAAATTTATGTAAAACATCAGACTAATATAAATTGCGAGCGAATGCGTTTACATGTAATGTAAGTTTTGTATTTAATTCGTTATATAAAAGAGTTGAAACGTTTGGTATAATTTGTGCATTAATAGTATAATTATATAATATTTTAACTAACTTCGAGCGCCTTTACGGTCACGGCTAGATCTTAGATACCTAATAAGTTCTATATGAATTTTTTCTGAAATTCATGTACAGCCATTAAACTGCGCGTCGATTAAATGTTTGAATTTGTAACGCAATTATTAGCTAAGGCTGAAATAGAAATATCATATTGATCTTCCTAATCAATCGATGCTTATAATTCATAGAATTTATTAGGCATCTAAGATGCAGCCGAGACCGTAAAGGCGCTCTCGAAGTTAGTTGTGTTATTCACTTAGGCGGTCTTATTTAAAAAATTATTATATAATATTTTAAGTTATTTATATAATATTAAAGATTGTTTACCACCGCAGTCAACAAAGATTATTAACACGTACACTTGCTCAACTATCTTATTGGCTCAACAGCTCCATTATTGATATACAGTAGAACCTCTTTATAGTCACACCCTCGGGACCAAAATGTGACTATAAAGAGGTTGTCTTAGCTCCACCCAAAGCAGAGCCGTTATACACACTCTCGACTTTCGGTTCATGTTTATACTAA